GATGGAAACATCCTGTTTGGAGGGAAATGGGCTGTACAGCCCTATCTGCCCGCTCCGACAGCACCGAGCAGCCGGGAGGAGAACTGCGGGAGCCAGTCCCGGGAAGGAGGGAGCCGAGCAGCCGACCCCTTCGCAATTCAAGCCCGGTCCCCGAAGGCACCGGGGGAAAATCGCCCGGCTCCGAGGGGCAGGGCTGGGGCTGGGGCTGCCCCGGGGAGGCTCGGCCTCGGCCCCGCAGGGAGAGCCGCGGAGGGGAAGCCAACAGATGTGGGCTGCACAACAACAGCAAAAAGGGAAAAAAAAAAAAAAAAAAAAAAAAGTGAAACAAGTGCTCTAAACCCAGGGGGGATTTCTCCTAATAGCGAAATCAGAGGGAGGGAGATTTCGGGAAAGAGAATAGCCCGAGATAAGTTTCTGGGCTGGAATTTACATTTCATCGCGATTTGTATTTTATAAGGCGCCGCCACGTGCCGCCCCAACACGGCCCGGCGGCGGGGGGCAGCCCCCGCGCCCCGCTTTCCTCGGGGATCCCGGGGTTTAAGGGGGGGACGAAGTTTTGGGGAAGTTCCTTGCGGCTCCCCCTGCCCTCCCCCGGGCGGCCGGCAGTGGGAGGCGGGGGCAGGGGCACCCCAGGCCGGGGAGCCGGGGGGATAACAAAGAGGAGCGGCCCCTGCACGGCCACCACGGGGCCGGGGGAGCTCGGCCCGGAGCTGGGGGAGCCCCCCGGGGCGGCGGGGTCCCGGGGTGAGGGTGGGCAGCGAGGAGAAGGGAGGTGCGGGGCTGTGCTCGGGGCGGCCGTGTGATGGCGGCCGCGGCGATGGGGCTCGGGCAGCCCAGCACAGCCCGGCCCCGGGGTCACCGCGGCCGGCCCCGGCTCCTCGCTCCGGGCCACATTAGCGGAGCGGCCATTTACTGCCCCTCGATTGCACCCGAGACCAGGTTAGCTCATAAAGCCATTCACACCCAACAATGGGGATTTTCTCAACAATTAACAAGAAACAACATAATAAAGCCATTTACAAAGCCCCGGCTATTTACTATAAATTAGCCACTCTTTAAGAGACCAGTGCGTAATTTCACACGCTTTACAGCCCCGGCTGCGTTTTTTAAACGCGACCAAGCCAGCGGCCCTGTTGCACTCCCCGCTCCGACCCCTCTCCCCCGTCCCCTCCCCGGCTCTGCCCGGGGGGCCGCGGCGGCGGCGAACCCCGCGGCCCCCCGCGCACAAAGCAGGCAGGGCGGAGGGGCTGGGGAAGATGGACGCCCTCCGGCCGCGGAGCCCCGGAGGGGGGCGCGGGGCGGGGGCCGAGAGGCCGCTTTGAAGTGCGGGGGCCCGCGGGGTGCCTCGCCGCGTCCCCCCACACCCGCTCCCGGCCGCGGGGAGCAGCCCCGGGAGCGGCGGGGCCGCCGAGGGTGCCGGCGGGGCCGGGCCGTGTGGCGCCGGGCAAGATGGCGGCCCGAGGCGCGCTGTCCCCCGGGCCCGCCGCGCAGGGGCCGCCCCGAGAGCGGCTCAGCGCCGCCCGCGGCCTGCGGGAGCCCGGCCGCCGAGCGGGCAGGCCCGTGTCCGCCGCTCGAGGGCCCGCTTCTCCCGCTGGGCTCGTTGGGTTTCCTCCCTCTCCCTCCATGTTTGTTATATATATATATATTTTTTTAAAGGCGAGGAGGCAGCCTTTAAAAGGAGAGGGAGCGGCGGCTCCCGCCGAACTCTCCCCCCCTGTTTACAAACACAGCTGTTGCCGTGTATTTGCAATGCTAAGGGTAAAGCCACCAGCGGCGAGGAGCAAACGAGGGGATGGTGCGGGAGAGGGGTCCTCGGCATCTGGAAAGGACAGGGCGCCTTGTTTTTGAAACTGTCAATTCCCTCAACCCCTATTGTGAGCGCTTCATGCAAAACATCTAGGGCCTTTTAAAGCTGGGGCTTGTGAGGCCGCCTCGGAGTGAAAAGGAGAGAGGGAGAGAGAGGGGCCTAGGGCATGGCAAATAATTATATCAGAACGGTAAAAAAAATGCGACGTGGAAGGCCTAAAATCAGTTCACCCCACGTCCCCGTGTCCCTTCCCGAGAGCTCTGGGCAGCCCCCTGCATGGCTCGGAGCGCTCCTGGGCTGCCCCGCGCCCAGCCAAGGAGCTGTGACACCGAGCTCTCCTTACACACGATGCTAGGGTTGAAATACCAGGGGAGGCTTGTGCATGGATAATGTCTACGAGTGTGACTTTAGCGAGGTAGAGCCCAGCGCCTCGGCCCTGGTTTTTCTAGCTGTTAGTTTTCACGTTCCTGCGATGGCCCTGCTTTTGTACCGAGGTGTTGGCCGAAGAGACCCGAGGATGAGCCATTACATATTCTTTCCAGCAATCATCTTAACCATAAAAACCACGATTAACAACGTTATCTGTATGTCACGTTCTCTAACATGCTGCGTACAGGGGAAATTTTCCTCCGGCTCACCACCGTGTGTAGAAAATGCTGCTTTTTTTTACACCTCCACGTCTTAACTACTCACACGTGTGAACAGTAACAAACAAAAACATGATAGCATTGTTCTCATTTCTGCAGAAACTTTAATTTATTGGCAACTAAATCTGTTATAGGAAAAAAGGATCAGAGACCATGTAAAAAATCACCGAGTGAATGATTGAACAGCAAACTTCATACAACAGCTACCACTATTTTGCATTATTGCTTGTAGTGGTGTTTTAAATAAACAACCAGTAAAGAGATTATCCCACTGTAGTCAAGTAAGTGTAGATTATAGAACAATCACTTCTTAAAAGTAAATTGTTGTAAACTGCAAGTTACATGTTTTAAGGCAATATACCTCGTTGCTGAAGGCATTACACGTGTTCCCTTTTTAATGCTCTAGAGAATTAAACATAGTCCAAAACTTTCTTTTGTCTTCAGTATGGTAACAGAAATCTTCCCAGAAAATGTATCAATGAGCTCGACTCGTGGCAAATACCTATGGAGGCTGGCCCAGAAAGTACACGCACGTCCCTAGACTGCTTTTTCCTTTAGAAAATGCTGGTGGGTTTTGTGTACACCAGGAGCTGGAAAATGGTGGCAATTCATTACCAATACATTTTACGTTTTCTCCCCTGTAAGCGTTACAACAACGTTGTGACCTGGCTCGCTGGAACACCCTTGTTTTTCCTCCTTCTGAGAACTTACCTTTCTAGGAGAAAAGGGGTTATTTATACATAACTCAGTGATACGCCTTGATAGTATTAAGGCCGAAATGATAATGAATTCTGCTCGCAATAATAATCACAATGCCATCAGAAACAGCTACCAAACTACCAGAATTTTAAAGAATACCATTTCTTTCTTTCTTTTTTTTTTTTTTTTTTTTTTTTAAATCCCTGCGTGTTATTGTACCTGGCTAATTTCTCCAACGGCAGTAAAAACACGAAGGCTCCTGTTAGTGGCTTGCACTAAACTGAGGTGTACACGTGTGAAAATTATTTGGCTGTTTAACTTCTTGCCTTTTGATGTTGCCTGCGTGGAGGGGAGCCCAGCGGAGCAGCAGGGCCCTGGCCCGGGCCGGTGCCTGCCCCGGTCCCGGTCCCGGTCCCGGGGCTGGGTCTGGGCTCCGCTGAGGGCTCCGCAGCCCCTGGCAGGGCCGGGCGCCATATTTCACGTCCTCAACTCTGCAGAGCCTATTTGGTATAAATTTATGCTTATTCCTCCCCCTCCCCCCTCCAGGATTATTTAGGCAACCTGAAAAGGCACCTCTGTAATTTACAATTCCTGGCCAAATCAGCATATCTCTAATTGGAAGTAAACAGGGTCAGGGGACAGAGTTACTTTGAAAGTGATACGTTGTTTAACTGGCAAGGCGAAATTTTAGGTTTCGAGTTTGCATATTGCACCTTTGTAGCTTTTGCGTTTGGTTCTTTTTTTTTTTTTTCCCCTTTTTTTTTCTTTCTTTTTTTTTTTTTTTCTTTTTGGTCAAGGGAAGACCTTTGTCAAGCAGACACGGCTTTCTACCAGAGCTGGGGGCTTTCCTGAGCAGTCCGTTTGGTACGTCCTTACAGTTCTCTGGAAATAAGGCTGTAATCTGTGCGGCTCTAAACACACGAATGTAAACATTCATCTCAGAACAACTTCAGTAAGCAGATTTTTCACGACCATCGTAATTTCAGCAGAGCGGCTAAGTATGCAATGCACCTTTTGCAATTGGCAGTTTAAAGTGATGTGTGTGCGTGTGAGTGTGTGTGTGTGTGTGCGTGTGCATGCAGGGGGGAAGGGAAACTCCACTGAAAGGCAATTGTTTACTCTTTCTAAATATATTTGGCTGCAGGTATTCTTAGCCTGGGCCTTTTTACAAGGAGAGGAAAACTCCGGTGGATATAGTAAACAGAGCTGAAATCAGTCAGTGGCCGCTCGGAATATTTAGCGACACGAGGGGTTGGGAGAGGGCATCACAAAAGGCAGGAATTAAAAAACTGAAAACCAGGCAGCGGACTGCCATCAGAAATGTTGACTTTGAGTCACACAGTAAACATTACATTGTTGCTTTGTTTTCCTTTTTTTTTTTTTTTTTTTTTTTTTTTTTCTTTTTGATTTACGATAAATTATTCTCCCGGGATTGATCGATGAGTGGAATCCTTAAAATTTAATTTGGGGATGATCTAGTATAAATAAAATGCTAATCCAAAGAAAGAAACCAGCAATTATTCATCCTAAACTCTGCTGATTCAGCAACTCAATTAGAACTGCCTTTCTCAAGCTGCAAACTTTTCAGATTGTTTTCAGAGTTGCTGTGCCCGTCCTCCCCCCGAGACAGAGACCTTCCCCCGAGCAGCCCTGCCTCGACTCTCGGGCCTGCAGCCTTTTTTTTTTTTTTTTTTTTTTTTTCCCTTTCTTTCGGAGGGGCTGGGGGGGAGGGAGGGAAACAGTTAACCTCTTGAAGCGTATTTCCTCCAAATAAAACCAGTGAACTTACAAACGGAGAGGAAACCGTGGGTAACTCTGCAATAATTCAAAGTGTATGGAATCAGGAATTTTTAAACAGTGTTTTTAATTGAAAATAAAGCTAAAGCATGCTTTTCAACAGTGCAAATTTCCATAATTTTGATTTACTGCTTCCATCATCACAATATATTATACCAGCATGTCTCACCGAGGGCTAGACTCTAGAAGTCTGCCTGTTCGACTATTTCGATATTAAGTGCAAATATAGATAATTGCCTCTGATTGTCACGTGCAGTAGAAACGTTTCTGCTACATAGAGAGGATGGTATGGAAACAAAAAACAACAACAATCAAATCGCAAGAGATGAGGATAAAACCGGGCAGTGTGCTACGGTAGAAATGCCTGAGTTTTGGTGCCAGAGAGCTCTGAATAACATGGTATTCTCATTTTGGGTATTCTCGCCACTTATGGCCTCTCGTTTCACTTTCTGTGTTGTATTTACTGCTTTGCTATTTCCTCCAGCCAGCGTGAGGGGCTGGACCATAAATTGTACTGCTATCCGGGCAAATATTTTAGTTGCTTTGCAAGTTTGTAAGGGGCATGTTCAGACCACAACTTAAGTATGACATTAGTGGGTAACAGTAACCTTATTTAAGACCTCTGGGTGAAACAAAAAAGGCTTTCCAAATGCAAAGAGTGGCTGTACAAGTAAAAAGACACCCTTTACCAAAAATAGAATTCCACATTTATTTACTGGTTTCAGATGAGGCAGCTTTTCCCAGTCCTGGGGTCGCAGGCGGACCCCAGCCTTTGCAAACCGGAGAAAAACGAGTAAGTGCAACTGCTCTTAGAAAGAGACACCCCTACACCCGAAAACAAAGCTCCCGAAAAGTAGGCTGCTGCCACATTGAATTATAGTGAACCCTTACTGTGCAACCATGTAACTTAACAAACTTTAACTGAATTAACAGTTAGACTTCCATTTTCGAAATCTAGTGCATAAATTTAATGGCTCATTCTAATATTTATTATTCAACCTTTTGACATTTATTTGCAGCAGTTGAATTGAGGTACTGGTGCATTATTAGCATTTAAACAGTAAAGTGTTCCAGCTCTACCATAATAACTGAGTTTAACTTGAGTCTTTAGCCTGAAGTACTCTGTGGAATGTAACCAAAAAAAAAAAAAAAAAAAGTAAAAAAAAAAAAAAGCACCAACCAACCAACCAAAAACAAAAACAAATGAAACAGTAGAAAAATAAAAAAATAAAAAAGACCCAAAACAAAACAAAAACCACGGTTGTAACGGTAAAGAAAATAGTAATCCGGTTTCTGTCTTCACAATGTGATAAAACAGGATTCCAAAAGCGTGTATAGCATTAATGGGCTGGTACAAACCATCCTGCAGAGTTTAAAAACGTAAGAAAGTTAAAGGTGGTTCAAGAAAATATTTTCCAAACTATTTTATTAATTAAATTTCCTGAATTTGTGGCTAGGTGGAAGAGGTATTGCAGAACCGCCCAGCTGCCATTTCCATACAGGATGGGCCTTGTGAGGTGGTTGGGAATCCTTAGTGGTGTTTAAGGAATAAGCTGGCAACAAATCCCCATCATTGCCAATAATTAGTGATGGTGGACAGGGAAAATTTGCCATGAAATTAAATGGCCTTTTCACTGCTGATGCTACATTGCTGGCTACCCTTTTGCGTCTATTGTTAACTGTAAAATCATCCAGTGTTCCTTCATGTGTCTCAATTTTACCTGTAGGACGTGGGCTTCGAGCTGATTTCAAATTTGGTTTGACTGGAGGAGTCTGCAGTACAGGTCGCTTTCCCAAAACCAGTGTCCTGTAATTTTTTCTCACCCTCGCTCCAAATTTATACTCCCCATCCTCAGGTTTTGGAGTACCTAAAGTGCATGAGAGGACCTGACTCTGAGTCAGCGGGTTTAAGGAAGTGGTTTCTTTCTCAGTGCATGCAGAATCTTCCTTGGCTGTTAATAAAGCGTCCTGGTTATTACTCTCAGTCACACCGTAAAACTCATCCTTAGTATCATTGCACTCACACTTTAGCTTATGTGTTGTAAGGTCAGGCTCATACTCGTCGTTCGCACTGCTGTCCTCTATTTTGATTTTAATGCTGTGCAGGAATGGCAATGCCTTATTGCCTGTATCAGTGCACTGGAGCTCAGCTGCTGCTGCCCCTGGAGAAGCAGCATCCTCCTCAGGATCAGTTTGTAAAGAGGGCAAATCCGTGGCAAATTCAATACAATGAGGGATTTTGGAATCTTTCTCTGAATTTGCAGCCGCTGATGAAGAATCATTATTTAAGAACCTAGCAGCTATTGTATTGTTATCTGCACAGTGTGTAGTAGTTGCTTGAAGGCATTTCCTTGCCTCTCTGAGTATTCTTTGTTGTGGAAATGCATTGTTTGTCTTTGGGCTAGGTGAAGAGGCCCCCTTTGCAACACAGTTAATTGTTAGGTCAGTACTCTTGGCATTATTGGAAAATTCAGAGTGTGGGAATGTGAGCTCAGATACCCTATCAGCTCTTATCTCCGCGAAGCAGCTCCCCAGGCCGCCGGAGCAGCACAGCAGCGCCGGGCCGGCGGGAGCCCAGCCGGGGCGGCCCCACTCCTCCGGCGGCTCGGGCTCGGCTCCGCCGGGAGCGGCGCGGAGGGCGGGCGGCCCGCCGGGCTCCGCCGGGGCCGGGGCCGGGGCCGGGGCCGGGACCGTGGCCGGGGCCGGGGGCCGGGGGGCGGCGGCGGCCAGATGGTACAAGAAGTTGGCGTGGACCACGCCGGGCGGGTTGCAGAAGCTGGTGCGCCTGAAGCGGATGCTCTGCACCGAGACCTGGCTGGAGACCGAGCTGGAGTCGGAGTCCGAGGTGCTGTCCTCCTCCTCCTCCTCCTCCTCCTCTTCCTCCTCCTCCTCCTCCTCCTCTTCCTCCTCCTCCTCCTCCTCCTCCGAGCTGCCCTCGCTGGACTCCGAGCCGCCGCTGCCCTCCTCGTCCTCTTCCTCCTCCTCCTCGTCCTCCTCCTCCGAGCTGCCCTCGCTGGAGCTGGACAGGCTGGAGCCGCAGTCCGAGTCGTGGGCGGCGCGGCCGGAGCAGCAGCTGGACTCCGAGTCGCTGCTGCCGCTCTCGGCGAAGCCGGCGGCGCCCGGCGGCACCGGCGGCCCCGGCGGCCCCGGCGGCGGGGGCCCGAAGCCGGGCGGCAGCGGCAGCGGCAGCCGCGGGGCTCCGCGGGGCCGGCAGGGCCGCGGCGCTGCCAGGGGCCGCCGGGCGCCTCCGGGGGGGCCCAGCACGCCCGCGGCGGCGGCGGCGGCGGCGACGGCGGCGGCGACGGCGGCGGCCGCCCCGTGGTGGTGGTGGCGGCGGCGGCGGCGGCGGCAGCGGGCGGGCAGGGGCGGGGGCCCGGCGGCCGGGAGCCGCGGCCGAGCCGCGGAGGAGGCGGCGGCGGCGGCGGAGGGAGGGGGGCGGGCGCGGAGGGGCGCGCAGCCGCCCGCCGCCGGCGCCGTTTCATAGTGAGCGGGGGGTTTGCGAGGCGCCCGGGCGAGGTCTGGGTGGCTGTGGCCAGTGTATTTACTAAAAATGTGAGGTAGGTGAGAGGCCGGCAGCGAGGCGGCGGCCCCCGGCCGCAAGGCTTTCCTCCGGAGCGGCAGCAGGGGCCGGGGGGGGTCGCTGAGCCCCAGCCAAAGTTTGTTCTCCTTCCAGAAGCCGCAGAAGGGGTCGGCGGGAGCGGGCTCCGGCCGGAGGTCGCTGGAGGCCAGAGCCCGGCCGATTTTCCTCCGTTTCGTCTTGAGGACGCGCTCGGTTTTGCAGGATGTGTACAGGGCTTCCACGTCCTCTCTGGAGATCAGGGTGCATTTGGCGGCGTGGAAGGCGATGGAGTTGATGGCTTTGAGTTTCCTCAACTCCTCCAGGTCGCAGTGATGCTTTTTGACTTTTAAATGATCCATTCGCTTGTGCACGGTAGTTCTCGGGATGTTTTTGAGCAGGTCTGTAAAAACCTGGGAGAGTGCAAACATTTGCTTTCCTTTAATGATGAGGTAGCCGAGCCTCACGCCATCCACCTCTTCAAAACCCGACTTCAGGTCTCCCATTTCGTGAATTAAATTATTCCCAGCATTTGCAGAGAGAGAGAGAGAAGAAAAAAAAAAAAAAAGGAAAAAAAAAAAAAAGAAAAAGCCACACACACACAATCCTCAGCCAGATGCTGTATTTGTCTCAAGGCATCCTGCTAATAAAATGTAACAAAGGCTGTTATTCCTGGTGAATGAAGTGCCAAACTTTAGACGAAATTAAAAAAGAAAAAAAAAATAAATTAAAAAAAAAAAAGCCCGTGAGACTACAATCGGTGTATAATCTTAAAAATCAGGTTTGCCAAAGTGTTTCTCTAAGTTGCTGCTGAAGATCAGTACCTGTTCCCTTTCATTCCCTGCTTTTCCATTGGAAACTATGATAATGGAATGTGAAGGGAGGAAGAGAAAAGAAATGCAGCTGCTATTCCCGCCGCTGCTTTAGCTACAAATAAAATGACAGAGTGAAGTGAGCTCGTCCGGAGACACCTTCATCAATTAATTCCCCTAAAGCCAACGCTGATTGGACACTCCTGACAGGTGATGCAATAAAAATTGATATTCCACCCCTTCCCCCAAAAAATCTCCCACTAATTAGCATACCCTTATACTGCCACCTCCCCTCCCAAAGTAAATAATACAGTTAGTATATAAATCTTTCTATTAAACAATCTGAGCTCAAATACGCTCAGACCTCTCAGACTTCCTCCTCGCTAGCTCCAGACGAAGGATTTGCACGCTTTTTCCCGTGTCGTTTCGTGTATTTTCAGGCTCTTTTGGCCAAACGGTGCTCTTTTGTGCACGCCGTGGTTTTAAAGGACATAAGTCTGATCGTGGCGATGGAAAATTCTTCGGTAACGTAACCGTTTTCAGCTGGTATTTTCTTCTGCATTGTGCGGAAAGCGAAGCTTAGCGAAAACGTGCAGAACAGCCTGGTATTTCCCTTCCTGGAGCTCCGAAGTTAAAGGCTCGGCTGTTAACGAGAGGGAATACTTACATTTTCGAGTTTCTCTTGATTTTCCTCTTCTGCTTAATTAGCTTTTTACAGCCGGGGACTAAGGTTATTTTGCTGCCTGGATATCGCGGGTCCCCGCACCGCGACACTGTACCACTTTTAACCGAAATCCTGCCTGTAGTATTGCGGGAGGGGGGAGGAGGAGGACGTGGGCTCACGTCAGACCCATAACAAAGCATAGATAAGCCAGAAATGTATACACTTTTCACAATTAACCGCGCCGGATCACGAGCTGGAATGCCCTATAGTCCCCGAGCCCACGTCAGGATTCCTGCGTGCTGATTGCTTCCAGCAGAGAAAGGAGAATGCGAAATATCCAAGGTGCTTCCAAGAGGCTTTACGTAATGACAAAAAAGTGCTGGCACACACAATGTACGGCTCTGCAACGGGCTAGGATGCTCCTGCCCTGCAGTTTGCATCTTCAGCTCGGGGTAGCCCTGCCGCAGCTTTTTGATGTTCCATTTACAGCAGCCCCCTAAAATCAATTCGGAGAAGCAGCACGCAGGTTTAACCTCTTCGGAGAAACGTGAAATTATTCGAGCGTCAGCCACGACGGTTTCGAAAAATGTTGCGATAGCTGCGTGCCTCTTCCTTGTCACGTTAAAATGATGCTCGCGGTTTGCACGTTGGGCGCTGCAAAAGAAAAAGAAAAAGAAAAAAATCACCAAGCTCTGCCGTGCATCCAGCGCTCAACTGGCTGCAAACACGAGCACTTTTATGTATCGCTGCACATCCAGAATTAGACATATCCGTGAGATTAATGAGACATCTCAGATTTCTGGGACTTGGCAAAAAAAAAAAAAAAAAAAAAAAAAAAAAAAAAGAGAGAGAGAGAGAGGGAAGGAGGAAAAAAAAAAAAAAAAGGCTTCAATTCCAAATGTCAATATCCACTCCGTGTATTGGCAACATGGTGCGGGGAGTTCGCGTTACCCCGTCAGGTAGAGCTAAAATAAAGAGCGAGATCGCCCTGCCAAAGAGGCAGCCTCGCATGCCAAGGCGAAATGCAGGCGAGCCCCCAGTTTCGCAGGAATTCTAGAGAGACCTGGGAATTTCGAGGAGTGCATCCGGAAATTGAGGAAGTCTATTGAAGGGAGCCTCTAACTCGGAGGGCAGAGATTTAGGAAAGTCAGCCTTGGACTACTGTTGCTCTCTCCGCGCAGATGTAAAAAATCGCCGCTGTTCAACTTAATCCATGTGTGCGCGAAACCGCGGTGGCTACTTCTCCCCTCGGGAAGCTAAGGAGAGCCTTCCCGTCCGAGAAACCGGAGCTAGAGCGAATTACATTTCGTCCCTCGAATTAGCAAAGGCTTCACTGGGTGGATCTCGTGATATTTCAGCCTTGAAACGCGCCCGAGAGGCAGCGGGGAACAATGCCTCGTCGCAGGCTAATGCCAGCCGCCGGGGCAGCCGGCGCTGCAGCTGGCTGGAGCAGCGTGCGCCTTTCGGGAGAGAGGCATCGAGCCGTGCTCGGGGGGCTGCGAGCGAAGTTGCGAGGGAAAACAGCTGCTCCCGTTAAAAAGGAACCACCGTGGTCTTTCTAGAGCGAGAGACAATAAGGGTCGTTTCAAAATTCCTCCTGATGTACTTATACGCCGCCAACACCCCCCCCCTCCCCGCACACACACACACACACCACCCCCCTCCCCGCTGCTCTCCTCCCCCTGCTTTAAGGTTAAGGCTAGGGAGTCAACAGTGAGGGAGCAGTAAAGTCCGGGAAAGCTTTTCAGCAGACGTAAAAAAAAAAAAAAAAAAAAAAAAAAAAAAAGGAAAAAAATAGAGAAAAAGAAAACAAGAAAAAACACAAAACGCCCCCCCTTCAAAAAATAAAAAGAAAAATAAAAAAATAAAAAAGAAAAAAAAAGGGGGAAAAAAAGCCCCTCTGGGCTGCAAAGCCATTCGTTTGCAGGCATTTGGGGTGCTTTGGGCTCCTGTGCGGGGGCTCGCAGGCAGGGCCGCCCGCAGTCCCTGCAGCTGACAGCCTGGCAGCGGGATCCGGCAACTATTTCAAAAATGCCTCCTTTTTGTTTGCTTCATTCCGGCGCTATCCAACGCCTCGGAGCAGGAGCGGCTATTTGGCCGAGCTCCGCTCCCGGCTAGGCACAGCCCTGAGCCTCCGGGTCGAAGGGGAGAGGGGCGGCGGGCGGTGCGAGCCGCCCCCCGTACTTACAGGCACCCGCACACCCTCTGAGCCGCATCCCTCTCCCCGGCTCCCCCGGAGCCCTCTGTTTCTCTACTTCTCCAGCGGGTTTTTGTGTGCGAGGCGAACCAGGCGGCTCTCCCCGGGCCAGCAGCACGCGTTTGTGCATCCGGGGTCGTCTTGGAGCCCGCCGGGGGAGAGCCTGATAAAGGGCCGCCGGGGGCCCCTTGCACACGCACACGCGAGGCAGGGACTTTCAGATGGATTTGCACGCACGCAGGGGAACGGCGATCAATAGCGAGCCACGTTTACGGCCGGGCTTGGGAACGCGCAAGGCGGCCGAAAGGAATTAAAATTAAAAAAAAAAAAAAAAAAAAGAATGAAAAAAAAAAAATCGAGGTGTCTGGTAGCAATTAGGTGCAAAGTTAGGCACTAATTTACTCGCTCGCAGCCTGCGTGGACGCCTGCGTGGCGGTGTGCTGTGCATGTGTGCGCGCAGCCGGCCGGACGTGTGGCCCTCTCTGGAAAACGAGGGAGTTTCTTTGTTAATTCCGTGGCCGGTGTCCCCCTCAGTCGCGATCAAAGATGCACATGATTAAAGGCATGGAGGTTTGGCTCGCCTTTCTGCAGATAAGGAGGCCCGGAGATGCCCGCTTTTGCCAAATCCACATGCATGCAACTCCGCGGAGTTGTGAGCACAGGGCACACACACACACACACCCCGGGACTATCAATCAAACGTGCTCCTTTTCACGTTGAGTAGCGTGCAATCTGCAATCTCCACTCTATAGGCAGTAGCGTTTCAGTCTTGAAGCTGTCTGGCCGAAGGATAAACCTCATTAGGAAAGAAAGAGAAAAAATAATATTCATAATCGCTCGCCGTGGACCTATTCCCATTTATTGGGAATCGCATACTTTCATTTTGGTAAACTTGTGTTAAAATATACGTGCTCGCGGGGAAGCGCTTAACCACATTGTTCCAGAAAGAAAATGCACGTAGCGTTTGAAATGCTCCTTTTACGCGATGTTTTGATTTATTTTCATAGGATGATTATGTTTAAATACCAGCGCAATTCAGCCTGACCTCTTCCTTCTGCAATGAAGTAATGCACACACCATTTACAGTCTTTTAAACGTGGAGTTGGGAAATGCAACAGCGATGTCCACCAGCAGTTGTACTAATGGGGAGAAATCTTTTGAAAATCTTCAGGAAAACCTAAGAGGTCACGTGCATTTTCACACTAGGATTGCCACATTATTAGAGTCTTATTATTATTTATTATTATTTGTTAAGTGCTGGGCCACGTCTCCAGGTATTGACAAGCATTAAATAAACCTTTTGCTTTCCCGGCTCTGGGCAGAAATATAGATTGCAAATGAGAACTTCTTTTCTAGCCCTATACCCTGCTTTTAGATATCGCTGTGCATATTTTGCTCAAGGAGGACACAGAAAGCAGCTAGAGGCTATCACAAAGAGTCCAGTAACGTAAATATAATAGGGTCAAAGAACAGTATAATGGGATCCTTCTGCTATTTTAAAGTCAGCCAAATGTGACTGTAGTACGTAAAATTTGCCGTAAATTCTGGTGTGACAACAAATGAGAACGTATAACTAAATGTCCTAAAAATGTAGGACAAAGAAATGCCAACCTTCAGCCCGAACAAAAAATCATAATCTGGCCAACACCGCTATGCCTAGGAGTTTCACTGGGTATTTTCTTTTCCCTTTTTTTCCTTTTTCCTTTTTTTTTTTTTTTTTTTCCTAAACAAAGCGGCAATGTCGAATTCTGCCGAGTGCTTTTTAAGTTGTAATTTATCCGTGGGGGCTGGGGCGTCCCTTGCGCCTTCGAATTTTGTGCAAATTTTAATGGTCGCGAGCTAAGGCTATTTCTTGAGCTTGCTACTCCCGGTAGTTTTAAAATACTTTTTTAGCAGGAGTTTCTGGACACATACTACATGCCATGTTGTTTACTGACCCATAATCAAAATGCAGTGACCTTCTACCCTTTTTTTGCCCCTTGACCCATGCTGAATTCAATGCAGCCTTTATAAATTTGCAAATCCTTGGACGTAAAGGGGATTTGGTGAGGCTTTGTTCTGAAAGGCTCCTAAAAGTTTGCATTTTTAATTAGACAAAGGTAAAGCAACAAACATTGGGAAATAAGATCCTCTCCTGCACATAGGTGATGGCTCGTAATTTCTCCGCCAGGGAGCTACATCCTAAAAAACGTACCCTGCGAAGGGACAAGGGGTTGCGAGCAAGGGAGATCAGGAGGTTATGAATTGCACCAAATTAGCAATGTGGTACAAATCACTTCCATGACGTAAGGGCCGGCCAGGCCGCAGTCTTCCGGCGCTCCTCATCTCCAAGGACTGTGCGGATCCCGGTGACCCGGGGAGAGGCAGCGATTTGAGCTGGAGCTACAGGCACATTCCCTTATCTCCTCCGCTATCAGTCAGCTTAAAGGACACCGTAATTATGATGGTGATAAAACAATGCCCGCTTATGTGTGCTGAATAAATAAAGGATGTTTACAGCCCTAGAATGTTTCAATTCCAATTAAACGCTATCAAAGAGAAGCCCCTCTCCCCCTTCTCCCCCCTCTCTCCCCCCCCACGAGTCCCTATTTACCTTGGGGGCTGTAATGTGGCCCTGTGAAAGGAACCGGCCTTCCACTTTGCCTGGGGAGGGGGCAGGGGAGACACCAGGGACCCTGGGGGCTCAGTTTTCCAGCCGGGAAGGGGGTGCTGGGGAGGGGGGGGGTGGTCCCGGCCCCAGGATGGGCTCACCCAGCGCCCTTGGGTGTTGGGGGCCCTGGGGTCGCGCCCCCCCAGTGTGTGTGTGAGCCTTGGAGATGGGAGGCTGGAAATCCATCCCATTCACCGAGACACCGGGATCATTGCAAATATTCATTGTATCAGCAAATCTCATCATAATCAGATTAAAGCAAGGGTTGGTTCGGGGAGGGGGGGGTGGAGGGATTGCCCGTGCGGCTGGGTGCTAAACACCGATTGGGCTACAAAGGAATCGGAAAAAGGGATCCCCTCGGATCTGGTCGCAAGGGGAAAAAAAAAAAGGGAAGAAGGAAAGAAAAAAAAAGGAAAAAAATGCCAGTTATTTTTTGCAAGAAAGGAGACACTGAGATTCTGCATCCACGCCCCGGGGAGTGCATTCCTCTCGGAGGTTGTTCCCCCTCAACCTTCATGGGCAGCACCGGCCTGCTTTTCGCTCGCCTCGTCCGAGGGCAGAGCTCGTCTACATTTCAGCGTTAAAATGCCTGTTTTATTCGGCTGCCCGGGGTAGAAATGTTTATGTTTGGGAGCAGAACCCAGCCCCTGCCCTGCTCTGCTCCGCTGCCTGCGCTCAGGCCCAGGCCCCCGCTGCCCTCAGCTCCCTCAGGAGGGTCCCAAACGTGGCCGTTCACCGAGGCGGGGGGCTCCAGCCTGCCACAACGTGCTCGGCAACTTAATCTCAGGCTAAAAAAAAAAAAAAAAAAAAAAAGGAGAGAGAGAGAGAGCAGGGAGCGAAAAAAGCGCGGCACACACAACTCTCCCGACGGCTGCGGTTCACTTCCGAGGTGGACCGGGCATTTTAAAGCCGAGGGGAAGGCGTGCGTGTGGGGGCAGCCGGCAAGGCACGGAGGTAAGCGGCTCGGCCTCGCCTCGCCTCGCCCCACCGTGCGGTAACAAAGGCGGCCGGCACCGGGCCCTCCTCCCCCCCGGGCCCGGCGGAGCTCGGGCTCGGGGCGCCGGGGGGACGAGGCGAGGGAACGGGCACCGGGCGCAGCGGATGGGGCCCGGGTGGGTGCTTCGTGGGGTGCTTTTGACGTGTTTTGGGGTGGTTCTGAGGTGGTTTGGACGTCTTTTTGGGTGTTTTGGGGTGCTTTTGAGGTGTTTTGAGGTGTTTTGGGGATGGCTTTGAGGTGTTTTTGACGTGTTTTGAGGTGTTTTTGTGGTGTTTCGAGGTGTTTCTCCTGCCGCCACACGCTCCCCGGCTGCCGGGAAGGGGGAGGCCGGGACCGTGTGGAAATTGGCGATTTCTTGGCGAACGCCATAAATCGCGGCGCGGAGCGGGTGGGGGCGGGGAGGCGCGCACCGCCACAAAGGGCGGCCGGGCAGAACCGCGCCACACCGCGCCGTGCCCGGTCCCCTCCACACATTTCTCCTCCGGGGCAGCCCCTTCGAGCCCCATCACCCCTCTCCCCATCGTCCCGGGGCCGATCGCGGGTTGCCGCCCGCCGCCGGGTGCCGCCCGCCCCGCGGAGGCGCCGCCCGCCCTTGGCGCGGGGCCCGGCGGGCGCTGACCCCTCACCCCTCCCCCTCCCCCCCCCCCGGGCCCGCTCTCCTACCCACAATTCCCCGCGCCGGCCGCGCTCGTGCCGCGCTCGAGCCTCCGGTGCCCGCCCCCTTCCCCCCCCCCCCTCCCGGTTCTCCTCAGCGCCCGCCCGGGAGCCGCGGCGCTGAGGGGCGGCGGGGACTGCCGCGCCTCGGGGCCCCGGAGGGTTTTTTTTTTTTTTGGGGGGGGGCGAACCGTGGCTTTGGAGGCCCCTGGAGGGGGTGTGTGGGGGTGCGGGGAGTCTCCGCCTGTTGAACATCGCGGGCGCGCTCCCGTTATACCGCACCTCTCGTCAGCGGCTTTCGGGAAATGAGACGTGACGCTAATCAAATCACGCGGGTGTAAACATTTATGAGTTAAATCCTAATATTATGCAATTATTTAAATCGAGACGCCGTGGCGGTGCCTCTGTGTGTGCGTGTGGTTTGTTATTTTTTTTTTTTCCCTCTTTCCCGTCTCACCCCCCCCCCGGCTGAGGGAAGGAAATGGCGGCGGGGGGACCCCCCTGAGGTGGGGGGGGGGGGGTGCTGGGGACCGTCCCCGGCGCTTCCTCTCCCCTCTGCCGGCCCGCGGGGGTCAGGGAGGAGAACAATGCTGCTGCGCGGCCTTTTGTGTGTGCAGCACCGTCCCCTGAAGGGAGGAGGCGAGCACTGCAGCGCCCAGGTGCGGCGGTGGCGGCGGCGTCTGTAGTGCTTCCTCCTCTCCTGCTGGTAGTGCTCACGGCATGCGGGCGGCCGGGGCTGGGGCTGGGGCTGGGACCGGCGGTGGTGGCGGTGGTGGGGTCAGGGCGGCGAGCAGGAGGCCCTCGGGCTGCCCCGGAGCCCGGGATAGGCTCGGCGGAGCTGCTGGATGCGGGCCAGCCCGGTCAACCCCCCCCCACACACACCACACCACCACCATCACCCCTCTGCAGCATAGGGAGCTGCGGGAGGGAGAGTGTGGAGGGTGAGTAACGCCTGGGGGGGGGGATGCTGAGAGAGGGGCTCCGGGGGAAGCAGGGCGGGGAGGTGCTGCGGGCCCCCAGCCCCATTGTGGGCAGGCCGCTGCCTGCTGCAAGGAGCGGGGAGCTCCCTGGCCCTGTGCCCCCCCCTCCACACACACACCCCGAGGCAGCCGCTCCGGGGGTTTTCCAGGCAGAGAAAGGGTGAACGAGGAGCTGCTGCGGGGCTGGGACTCGCCTGTGACACCGGAGCCGGGCGTGGAGGAGGATCTGCGCCCGGGTGGATGGATGTAGGCGAGCGGGACTCCTCGCAGGAATGGAGAGGAACAGCTCCGAGCCGCAGGATTTGGAGTAGTCAATGTAGCCCAAGTTGGGAAGGAACTCGTCTTAATGGTCTGTTTATAAAAGTGAAGATTAATCCGATTCATTTAAACACCGTGAAGTCTGGATTTTTATTTTATTTTTTTTCCAAGTGATTGCTGTATGTCGGTTTTAAAAAATTGTTTTATAGGAAAAGTGTTTGTGTCTTTTTCTTTTTTTTTTTTTTCCTAAAAAATAATTGCAAGTCAAACTGTTTCGGTGCGCCACTCAGACCTGCAGTTTCTCCTGTGTTAACCTAGAGAAGAGCCGACTAACTCCATTTTCAAGAAAATTTCCAACAAGTGCCCTTGATCTTCTAAGGGGAAAAAAAATGTGTCTTTGCACGTTGTTTCTTGAAGCTTAAATTAAAACGGATAGGGGCTTGTGTTTGATGACGAAAGGATTTCTAGAGAACTTTTTTTTTTTTTTTAAAGAAAATCCTTTCTAGGAGAACCGTGCTTATTTTTAGCAAGTTATTTCAGAGTTTGTGAGAATTGATTTGCAAAGGTTAGGATTGATGTCTAGCTATTTTTTTCTAAACGTATCACCAAAAAAAATTACCATTTTACGTATTCTGTGAGTAACAAGTAAAAGAAGTTAACGGATGATGTTTACAGATAGCACCTAGCTGAAAATAATTCTCAAGTGACTTTCCCCCCACGCACACACTTGGGAAGTTGCATGCTTGCAGTCATTGTTTCAGATAATACAGTTTGGGACTTCTCTTTCACTCTTTGTAAACTTGCAGTCTTTTGTGGGATTCCTCCAAATAAAAGCCCGATTCAGTTCGGATGGTAAAAAGCAGCTATGTTACTCGAAAGCCGAAGATACAAGAAATAGTTAATAGGAAAGCACCGCTCTGGTAATATCTCAAAGCATTAACTTTAAAATCGAGGGAAAAAAAAAAAAAAAAAAAGGAAAAGATTTTTTTGGTTTGCTTCTCCTGCTTGAGTATTCCGGAGATGCATTTACTCTTACTTGCTGCCTGGCAATTTTCAAAAGGTAATTGCAAATTTCGAAAGCGTCCTTCAAAAAGACATTTAATGCTGTTGTATTTCCTGAAACAATATATTACTACTGGAAAACTATTTTATTGAAAAGGAAGATTAAAAAAATAGGGAGAGACCGTTTGTTGCCGTTATTCATTGCTCTTTATTTTGTTTTTGTGTGGAATGCGTTGACGTGTTTCGTATATTAGATATATTTTTTTTTTTTCACAAAGGAGCATTGTTGTTACTTTTAATTGGGAAGTACCACGATATAAAAATTACCCACATTCCCGACTCTGAACTACCATAGTAAGATTGACAAAAAGTGATCCGAGGCTTGCGCGCTTAATTCGCCAGGAATGTTAAGCTTCCCAGATACACCCTATGTGGTCAAGTTAGACTTTCGCTCTTCGAGAGTTTTTAATGGTCAAAATGGTAGAAGAAACGTATGTATGTATATATGTGGGGAATTGAAATTAGATGGTAACTAGCAGTGGGAACAGAGCTCACTGATCGAAAGACTTTTTTTTTTTTTTATTGCATTTGGCAACCTCTTTCTTTCAGAGACACAATACAATTAATTAACATATTCTGGGGCGTGTTTTTGAGATTGGGAAGTGGTGGCCCCTTGTTGAGAAGAAAACACTTTAAATAAAAAAGTAACATTGTTGTGTCCAAATGGTACTGGGAAAAGCAGAGTAGGATTGCTTATACAGCCCACGGATGCGGTTGATTTACTCCAATTTGCTTTAGCATATAACAAACCAGCTTTTCCTTTCCCACGCCTATATTAGTTATATGTGTTTTGTTTATACAAATCCATCTAAAATAGGTCTGTCTTTAAGGTATTTGATGGGAAATTCAGCATGTCGTTTCTCGTATTTATTGTGTAGTACAGATACGATTCCTGAATTGAAATCAAATAAATGTGACCTGTGACACGATACAGTATCACACTGCTGATCATAACACAACGAACACGAAAAAAGGCTATTAATTTATATGGAATGTTAATTTAGCAAATCCTACACGGAGGTACGCCTATGCAAGAAAAGTAATCTGAGGCTTGGTTTTGGTATGATGCGACGTAAATGTATTTAATAAAAATCCAATGAATTAATACATACCTCATAAAATCCAAACTTTGAAATGAATTATTCTTTAAAGAAGAGCCTTATGTTATGTTGAAGGCGGATATAATCTAAATTCCAGAGTTTACTAACCCAGCTTTTCAGGGCTTAATAAAACATTAATATTCAATATGGTTTGCTAGAAGTTTATTTCAGGTTCTTTTGTATCATACTGTAATTATCATTACTTTGACTTGACTCACATAAAAATGTGGTTAACATTTAAATGCCTTTTTAATGTAGAGAATTATAAATTAACTGTCACATTTAAATCTTTTAACTTCTATCACTTAGGGAATGTTAAGTCTTTTAAAAGGAAATAATCACTGTGCTTAAAGATATCCCGTGCTAGGATCCCTTATTTAGAATTTTGGTTTGAGATTGTTCATTCAAAGAAAATCCCTTGTTTCATGTTTACTGTAAACCTCAGTCTGAAATTAACATTTAAATGCCAACATTAGTAACAGAAGCAGTACTTGAAAACCACCAATTTTATCCATTGCTGCTAGTTAAGTGGAATATACCAAAGTCTCCAAAGGTGATAATACAATTAAAAACAAGAAAATGAATACAATAGTTGGTGAAATTACTTCCCCCTTTCTTTGCACTCTAAGGAATTACAAAATTTGTAATTATGTTCGCACAAAAGAAAAGAGCACAACATATGAAGAGGCATGGTGTCCAGGAGATGCACTGACGTGACCTTTGATGCTACTACCTGTACTTGCATAGCGTGTAAATATATAACACGCAAACTCCCAGTGAAGAAGTGACTGCGTCTTAAATGTTAAAAACATTTTAATTATTCAGTAAATTGCACTTGGATAAGTATTAAATACAGATTTGGCCATTATATTAAATACTAGAAGGGAAAAGAAAACTTTACTTAGTATAATTTAAGAGTAAGCCTGGAAAGATGCATTAACATTTTTAATATGGGTTCTGTAGACGTGCTATATCCTTCAAAATTGAACATGGATAGAAATAATTTGTTAGATCCAAGGCGGACTGTCATTTAAAACACACTATGTGCAAAGGTCAACACACAAGAGTCGCATTCTATTTTGTGTAAAGTGACCATTTTGCTACTGCCTTCCCGGGAATGAAGCAAATGCCCACGATTAGAATGTATTTCAGTGAAGACTGTTAATGATTTAAACCCAGAGAAACAAAAGGCAGACCAACATCAATCTATTTTAAATAGATAAACAGGAGATATATTATTCTACATATTGAGAATTGCTCGGTTACTGCAATTTGCCCGGCCTCAGTTGCATGTTTAGCTGTGCAGCATGTATCCTTTCGCTCATAGGTAAAGATCAAAGCTTTCTCAACAAAGACCCAAACTGAAAAAGAAGTAAAAATGGCTGTGAGAAAATTGCTTTAAAGAACTTGCTGTAAAGAAGCAAGTTTTCTCACTCTGCAATTCCAACTCCAATGTCAGTGCATGTTTTCTAATATAGCATGCTTTTTTTGTAAAATCTGTGCTTTTCGCTGTTGTTGTTATTCCTGGAAGACTCCTCTGATGATTATACCCAACTGATAATGTGGTTTTGTAAATGAAAGACTTTTTCTTGTTCAGTGCTTTGTTTTATTCACCAAACTTACAGTGATTTTGCACATTACAGATAAAAAATAGTGGAATTTAAAGCAAGTATTTCAATCTTAGCATTATTGGTGGAACTGATCAGTTGGTAGTAAAAATTTAAGGTGAATACCTCTTTATTTTTGCTAATGAAGCTAAAGTGCTATGCAGTAAAGTATGTTAATATTTTCTTCAGGAATCCCTTAAACTCTTTAAAACTATTTGCATTTGGACAGTGTAATTTTCACTCACTCATGCATTCATCCTACTTGGAAAAGTTATCTAAAAATATGAATTCATATAATCTTGTTGCATGTTTTTTATAATCAAACTTGTTTTGCTCCTAGGTTTTGTAGATTTCTTTTAAGACAATTGGATTTTCTCCTTGCATTTAGATTAACAATGAAATTATTCATTCTTACTCACTGAATTATATTCCTCTCTAATTATTTTAATCTCTTATATATCACTATAAGAAGGACAGGCTTCTTTTTTTCAAAAAGAAAATTGGCCTTCTGTGTCATGTCAATGCTTATTAAATACTACAATCATAAGAACATATATGCTACAAGATTTTATGTTCTGATTCCATAGCTGTTACAGGCTTAGCGTTTGCAGTATTTATTTAGTGGTAATGCAGTTCTTTTCCTATTTTGCATTTCAAAGGTCTCCTCTAAATGATTGTTTTACAGAACTATCAAGAGGTTATCTAAATTTTTCCATCAAATATTACACAGTACCATAAGGTGGTAGTCATGGAGTTTCTTTCAGTCCATGCACATTCTTTGTATTGAAATAATTAAACATAAATCTATAAAAAAATACAAAAAAAAATGTTTTATTAAATAATTGAATGTATTAGGCTTGACTGAATTTTGACCAAAGCAAAATTTCAGGATCTTCACTACTGAGCTGGTGTTACATGGTGTGAGATTAGAGTATTTTTATTTGAAAACCACACAGTAGGTTTATCATGAATATGTTCTTGTTGCCTTGGTGCGGCTTTAATCAAGTTGTTGCAAAGTGATTAATTTTTTTCCTTGGTGATGTTTCTTTATAAAACTTAAAATTGAGATTCAGAATTGCTAACATGAAGAAAAAAAAAAAAAGACCTGGGAATCGTACTAGTTGCTTTTCAAAGAAGATATTGCAGGAAGACCTTCTCAATGAATTAAAAAAAAAAAAAGCTGTGAAAAAAAAAATTACAATTGTTTGTTATAATACAAGCTTACTATATGTATAAATTTATCCAACAAATTAAAATATACTTAATATATTTTCATTTTAAAAGGATATTTATTTTAATTTACCTGTCAGGGAAATAAAGGACAGATTTGCTGCTGTACCATGATTTTTTTTTTTCTTGTCAGGGTTAACAGAATCATTGAGAATGCTTTTTAAATTAGATGTCATTTTCTTGACAAGAATGAAGAAGGGCTGGGACACTGTATCTATCAGCTCCAAATAATTTGCGTTTTTTAAAACACTAGGATATTGCTTTATTTCCTTACAAAGTAATTACTTGCACCTGCAATTTTCAGGGTATTCTTAACAAGCTTTAAAAGTAATAAAAATAGTGTTGTAAGTATGTTTTGTCACATAAGTAGTTTATGTTCAAATTTGTATTCTTCACTGTTGAGATAGAACATTCTAGTGTGGGGTAGGGTTGTTTTGAGAGCAATATCTGAATTATTTTATACAAACTGAAACATACTAAGTTTCAATCCACCCCTATTTTTATTTTTTTTTTACATGTGCCTTAAAAATGTCTAAACTGCCAGAGATATTAGAAAAACACATTTACAGAGAAATGTGTAGAATGTGTCTGAAATGGCTGTTATTCACGTATTTGGTTGGGCCCTTCATATAGGAAGCTACCTCCCTCATTCCTTTTTCCCTTGCCCTCCATTCTTCTCCTAGCTATATAATTTCACTCAAAACTTTCAAGAAGAGAAAAGAGCTTGACCTAAGATACCCTGCATACAAACTTGCAGACTAAGATGTCTCTAGAGGGTAGAGAGTTGTGCACATCCCACCTCTCCCTTACGCATAGTTTTTCTTCGTACTCCTGTACGCAAGTGCAGATGTTTTATTAGTTAACACTGTAGAAAATACAACTAGCCCTGCGTGTATATACAGAGGTCTAGGTAGCCACACGTCCAGGAACGTACATAATTCAGCAGTGATTTGCACAGATACTGCGTCAACTATGTCGGCCTTGCAAAATCACCACCACAAATGTACAGACCACGTGCAAATTCTGCTCGTCTGCCTTTTAGCATGGTAAGATAAATCACTTGCATCTTCCTCGCCCAACACTAAATAAATAAATAAAATAAATAAATAAATAAATAAAATACAGGCCCCGGGGCAGGCGAGTGAGCAGAATTTTGCAAGGCTGCATTTCATTTCTCCGTGCCCCTACCAATCGCCACAATTAGTTCCTTCTGCTATAGGCGTACCTGCTCACAATGGCGAATTGAAATGAGAGATTGGCTTGAGATTTTCCTCCCTGCTGACCACCTCGGCTCTGCCAGGTTTAATTTTTGTTTTCTTTAATTAAAAGAGACAACAGAATTAGAATTATTTTAGGTAAACGGAATGAATAACCAACCCACCCACCCCAAAACACACCCGAAATCCCCCCCCGCGTGGGAGCAGGGCTGGGAGCTGGTGGCTTTTGTGTGTGCCTGCGGCCTCCCCGCTCGCCCCCTGCCCTAACCCCTCGCTGTCGCTGCCGGGGTGGCCACGCGTGGCTGCACCCACGCAGGCTGATTTTGGGAGCAGGAAGGTGCAATTAGCACCGCAGGATTTAGTTATCGGGCTGTCGGAGGGGAAGGGAGCGGAGCGGCACCGGCTGAGGCGAGGGAGGGCAGAGGAGGAGGGGGAGCGGGGCAGCGGCGAGGCCCGCCGAGGGGACATAAACAGGACAATAAAAGTTGGCAGCGGGGAGGCGTGAGCCACGTCGGGGGGAAAATAAACAAGATAGTAAAAAAAGAAGAAAAAAAAAAAGAAAAAAGAAAAAAAAAAAACCAAACACAACCACGATTTCTGCCGGCTGCGGCGGAGGAGAGGAGAGGGGAGGGCGGGAATGGGGGCGAGTCCTCCAGTCCTCCTGAAGGGGGCATGAGCAGAGTGACATCGCGGGTGGGAGCGGGGCGCATGTCTGCCACCTCCCCCAGCCCACACGGCGGGGAGGGGGGCAGCAACAGGCCCGGGCTCGGCAGGGCAGGGCGGGCGGCTCCGCGCGGGCCGTCCCGAGCCGCGCCGAGGGCTTGCGGGGCCCGGCCCGGCGCCGCCGCCATGGCTCGCCCGGGGGGGGACGCCGAGTGGCAGCACGCCGAGGTGGGTGGACTGAGCCGAGCCGAGCCGAGCCGGGGCGGGCGGGGAGGGCTGTGGGGGACACGGGCGGGCCGTGCCGTGCCGGGCCGGGCCATCAGGTGGCCGGGCGGGCCCCGCCGTGTGCGCGGCGCTCAGCGGGGAGGAGCGGGGGGGGGGGGTGGGGAGCGCGGCCGTGCTGCGGGCGGCCCCGCAGCCATCGCTCGGCCGGGAGGAGGCCCCGCAGGCCCGGGCCTTCCCCGCAGGGCTCCGCACTGCGCCTGCGCCGCGGCCCTGCCCGCCCGCCCGCTCCGCTGCGCGCCGCCGCCGCCGCCTCAGGGCTGCCCCTCGCCGCCCGCCCGCCTGACGCAGCCCGGCCGGGGGCGAGCGGAGGCCGTGAGGCGGCGGGCATGGGCCCCGCGCGCCCGCCGGGGAGGCGGCGGCGGCGGTTGAGCGGCTGAGGGGGGTTTGTTTGTTTGGTTTTTATTATTATTTTTTTTTTTGAGGGTTTGGGGACGAAGCGCGTGTGCGGGGGGGGCTGACGGCGCTGTGTTGGCCCCGCAGATGGTGTCCAGCGAGCCCCTGCTGCTGCCCGTGTCGCTGGAGGGCGAGTTCTCCAGTAGCATGAAGGAGATGATCGGCGGGTGCTGCGTGTGCTCCGACGAGAGGGGCTGGGCCGAGAATCCGCTCGTCTACTGCGACGGGCACGGCTGCAATGTCGCAGTGCATCAAGGTGAGTGCGCGGGGCGGCTGCCCCCAGCCCCGCTCCTTCCTCAGGCTCCCAGCCCGCTCCCCTTGGGCCTAGTCCCCCCCCATCCCTCCCTTTCCCCTTCCTTCGCCCCCCTTTACACCCCCCAGGTCCCTCTTGTCACCCACGGAGCCCATTTGGCCCCCTCCAGGGCCCCGTGCTCCCTGGGTTAGCCCAGGCTGTCATCCTGTGGCCCTCCAGCCTGCCTGGCTTTTCCCCCATGGGAGACGTCCTACGCCGTGACTTCCTGTGTTATGACTACTAGAAAGGAAGAGCAGGCCTTCCATTTTTCCCCCTCTTCCTCCTCTTTTACCTCTTCTGTGTTTATTGTGCTTCCTCCTGTGCACCCTGTTAACAACCCCAGCTACGGCAGTCCAAAGACTTCAGGAAACTCCTTTCCTTTTCCACATGACTTCTCGCTAATCTCCGTTCTGGCAGCTCTTGCTGTATTTCTTTCTTCCTGCGCTCAGTTCCTGCCCTCCCTGCCTTTCCCAAGTTAAAAAAGAAAAAAACTATTCGAGGGGCATCCGATAGGTGAGGAGGGTGTAGGACCGGGAGGCAGCAGCGTGTAGAGAGGGCTTAGCTGTCATGTGCTCGCTTCCCCTGCCTGCCTTTCCTTGAATGTCATTTGGCTGCTGGTGCCTGGCAGATGAGGAGACTTCCTGTTGTGGTTCTGCAGGAGGAGGGTGCCGCTCCGAAAGGGCTGATGCAGGATTTGTTTGGATTAGTAGAGCCTGGTTGGTTGGTTTCCAGCTCAGCTCAAGAGCTGGCATGTTCCCTGTATGTGTGATTGTTTTGTTTCTGTCAGTGGGTTGACCCTTCTTTAGAGAACAGAGGGAGGGACTGGATTCTGCTGCTTACAGTGTGAGAAAGGAAGTTGTGATGACTTTTGCTTTATGCGTAGCAGAAACAAGGAATAAAATGGTAGCTTCTCTGTATCAACTCCCAAGCAGTCATTTGAACTCCGTGGTTGGTTCTTAGACTCCTAGATGGAGGAAAGGTAAAATCCAAAATCCAGTTTATTAGTCTGAATGGCTAGTGCATGTGAAAATCCTATTGATGTATCTCTCATACTTGGTCTTACGATGTAAGTTTTGGTGAACATGACGTGGCAGATGGTTTTTACACGTATATGCTCGTTTGTAGACCAAGAAGTACTAATAATTTAAGGAAATGTGCAGAAGAATTCAGTTATTGGTGATGCTGGAGTTAAGGCAGAGAGGAGTTGAGAGGATCTGTGAAATTAGCCTGGTTTTGAATTACTATGGTATTGTCTTAAGGGCTGAATAAATTTAACCAGAAAGTTAACTCTGCTTTTGTAGAACCCTAGAATCATGGAAAAGAACACTAAACCATGAACACTTCTAGAAGTCATACCTGAGCCACCTGTTATTTTTATATTATTCTCGGCATCTTCCTTTGCATCTAGAGCCTCGCTAATTGTTTCAGTGAACAAATTTAATGATAGCAGTTGGGTGCTTGCATACTCGTGGACCTGAAATAGGGGTAGCACAAAAAGTCTGTTTTGGGAAATATTCCTTATATAGGGAGGGAATTAAACAAGCTGGATACAAGAATATTGCACTTCTGTAAGTTCAGGTCCAAATCTGAATTTGAATATGGAAGTGTGCAAAGTACTGCTTCTAAATCCAGATGCTGTTGTAGAGGCATTAAGAGAAGGAAAACTGTATGTTTTGTCTTACTGTGTCGGTAATGTTTTACATCTTGAATTCGATGTGTCACTGAAGATGTTAGAAGGAACTCGTTCACTCTAAATTTTCTTGTTGTAGCCCTTCTGTATTCAAAGTAGTTATTGTCAAGATTAAAGCTGGTAGTCCTCCTTTGAAATTCAGGCGTAAGTATTCTCCACAAGACTTTCGGATCTGATTTTTCTTTTTATTTATTATTTTCAGTTAGTTCAGAGCAACAGCTTTTTCCAGCATTAAGTCATTGGCAAGTTGTGGAGTACAACGTTCCTTAATGTGTTTAAAGAAGCTTTGCGTAGTAGTACAAGTATTAAACCAAAGGAAGACACGGAACTCAGTAAATGATATCAGAGCACAAACCTTTGGTGGGTGTTTTTTTAGGCTCTAGGTAGTCTCTGTTCCATTTGCAGATAAAAAGAGTACCTCAGCCTTGGTCTTTGCCCAACTTGTGTTGCCTTTGGATCTGATTGCCAGCTCTGTCTCTGAGTCGCATTCTGAAATTAGTTTCTTATTCTGCCCTGTCTTCTGGTAATTTAAATGTGTGATTGCACATTTAAAGTCTCCCACTTAATTTCTGGAGGAATTCAGAATTCCCCCTTTCCCATCTGTTGCTAATAGAAATGCAACTAAAACAAGATGTTTTCTCTCATGTTAAAGAACTTTATTGTACAGTGGAAAGGGGTTATCAAGATGGTTTGGTCTGTCAGTACTTGGATAACGTATTTGAAAATCTGACAACTGCTCTTAATATGACTACATGTATGCATATAATAGGAAATAATTTAATTGATGTTGCCTTGTAGAAGGAAAGGTGCATTGGCCAGATGTTTAATATACTTCTACTGCATTGCTTGTTCTTCCTTTCTTTTCTTTTTTTGGTATAGGCTGGCACAAAACCGACAATATTTTGGGGATCTACTAGAAGATACTAATATAGCCTCAGATTTTCTCCGAACTATTAACTTACTAGATCTGTTCTTTTTTTAGTTACACATCTTAACCAATTTTTTCATTAAAATAAATAAAACATGTTCATAGGTAATTGAGATACTAAAAACATTATGACAGATTCAGGATAATTTTTGAGGAAAATTTCTGGCTTTGTTAATTGTTATTAGTCATTAAACCCATGAGGGTATAAGAAGACAAGTGCTATGAGCAAATCTAAAAGTTTTTTACTCCATCAGCCGTTCTTAAAGTTTCAAATTGTGTTTCAAAGATAAACAGTATTGCCAAGTTGATAAACTCTGTTGAATTTCTTATCAAACTCCTGTTTTTATGTACTGTGAAGACATTGATCATAGTCTTGCAGAGAAATTTGCATATCTCAAAAAAATCTCTCTCCCAAGGGTTAATGCTGTAGCCTAGTTGTATATAATTAGTGTTAGTCATGATGCTGAGTTTAGTTTTTATTTAAAGCTTCATGTGAATTTTCAGGGCAAAACCCCCCAACTTTTTATCTTAGTTAAGTTTATTATGGATTCCCTACTTAAATATGAGTATGAAAACTTGATTGTGACTAAGCAGATGAATGAATGTATTATGACAAATATGAATGTGTTAGTTGCTTTTAGTTTTCTGTAAAAAAAAAAAACAAAACAAAAACCACAGAACTTTACTACAAATGGCTGATGTTTGTTGCTGTAAAGCATTTTACCTGTTTTGCAGGTAAATAAATAGCAAAACATATTCATATAAAACATTACTGCTTTTGAATGATTATATTACTCTTCAACCAACCTCATATTTTTATTATTTAATCATAACTAATATTTTGCATAAATTGAAGTGGAAGGTTGTACTTTATTTCTAGTACCATCATGGTAGGATTTTACGTGTGATGCATAGATGTGAATTTGACTTAATTGATGTGAGATCTATTAATATGAATGTTACAAAAAAGCTTAGTATTAGTTGTACTGTAGTGCTGCTTACATGTGCTGAAATATTGTATCTTGTTCAAAACAGCTTGCTATGGAATTGTTCAAGTACCCACTGGACCTTGGTTTTGCAGAAAGTGTGAATCTCAGGAAAGAGCAGCCAGAGTGGTATGTGCTTTGTTTTTTAAGTAATGCTGGTTATAATGACTGTGTGGATGTTTGCCCAAGTATCTCAGTAACAGTAGAAAACAGATTAGTTTCCTGTCATAATTCCATCTAGGTGCTATTCAAAAAGACCTTTTTTGAGTGGAACTATTTATCGAAGTATTCTGACATATTTTTCTTCAAACAACTGTTTCAAAGATGATTTCTTTACCTATGGTGTGGGTTCTGCGTATTTTTGTCTGTTTAATACTTTTAGAATTAGACATGGGGAGGAAATAGAACTCTTGTCCAATTTTCTTTTACAACAACTGTAGGTAGCTAATTGAAAGATTCAGTCTAGGAACACTTAATCGATAGGGTTGTTCTTAATTGCAGAATCTAATGCTTACTTTGAATTGACCGTTGTCATCTGATACTTCTAATCCAAGAAACATTTTCTTCCTGTTTTCCTATTTGCTTATTTATTTATGGTAAGTAACGGGGATTCAGATAATCCTTCTGAGCAAAAGAAACCCCACTTTTTTCTTGATTACATGCAGTTCTACTGTTTTTTTTTTTTTTGCTTTTATTTTATAAGCCCAAGCTGCATGATATCAGGCATTTTTAGAAAAAGAGAATCATACTCGTCACTATTACTCTTTTTTGCTGTTTTTTTTTTTTTGTCTTCCAGCAAAAGATGAAATGAGTTTCTTTAGAAAGACTAAGCTGTTGTTTTACCTCTGCAAACAAAATTTTCATATAAAAATTAGAAAAGAAGATGATGCAGCATCTTGGGGCAGTGTAAATTATTTTTAACTTTCATATCTATAGACAAATGAAGAGCCTAACACCAAATTTTGAGTTATATCAGTGACTGGCAGCATGTTTGCATGAACTTTTTGCTACACTTATTTCCATTTCTAATATAAAGTACTTCAAAAATTGTAGGATGACCTCCCGGGTTGTGAATTTTTGGCACAGGACTGAAGGATCTCTCTCGTTCCTTTACTTTTTCCAAACTCATGGTTTGTATTTTCATGATGCCCTAGAAACCTAGCTTTTTTTTACTCCTTCCAGAGCAGATCTGTTGTTGGGAGTAAGAGCAAATTGGAGTCAATGTGCTCTCCAAGTATTTGTCAACAGAAAATCAAAATACTTTCTAAGGAAAGACTGCTTCTTTCTTTTCCTGGGAAGATCATAAACAACGTAGAGATTGATGATAAATTGATAATATCGTGTTGATGATAAAGAGGAAGGATTTTTAATGTTGCTGAATTCAAGATATATATATATAGTTTGACAACAAAGGAAAAATTGTAGAAGAAAAAAGATGTGGAAGGAGCATTTTTCTGGTTTGTGATAGGGAATTCTCATCGGGATTTAGGATATAGCTGTTCCTGGCTTCTCCTCACACAAGTTATGAAGGAGAACTGCACTGCCTTCTAAAATAAACAGTGTATCACTGCATTTCTGATACTTTATTGAGTTTACCAAAGAAAATAGCTTTGACAGGTGTTACACTGCTTCCCAAAATTAGTGAAGAATAGTGATCAACTTAACTGAATTCTCTGCCCAGTGTATTCTGTTCTTGGTTCCACCTATTAAGATATCTATTTATGGTATAGTTCAAGAACTTGATTACTGATTTGTTTTTTAAAGAAGTTTTTCCTTCCATTTGTAATACAGGATAGGCTTGGGTGGTTCTTAAATGACCGTGTGAGGTAGAACAGATTGATAGTAGCTGAAGTCTTAACAACTGCATGCGTGTCAGTGAGTTACAAATGTGGTAGCTGTCTCTGAGGTGTCTTGAAGAAGCCCTTAACATACAGAAACTGAACTGAAGATCTGATCCCAGTGGGAAAGCTGGAACTTTATTGTAACCAGTTTATCATAAGCAGAAGTTGTACCGCACTTAGACAAGCAACCCGTCAATCCAACCGTCAGTACAGGAGGCTGAAGCTTAGTTTTTCTGGTGGCATTTTTGCCTAGAAACAGAACCAGAATTAAATTAACTACATCACTTAGAACATGCACATGCTTCAACTTACTTTTAATCTTCAAAAAGACCTGCAAAGTCTTGCATTCGCAGTGTATTTTCCCATGTTGATGTGCTCAGAATGTTTTTGTTAGCTAGTTTGTTTTAAACTGCTGTGACTGGGCACGTAAGTCCCATTGGATGAGAGACAAAGGTTAGATGCTTGCACTGAAGTTAGCCTTGCTTTAGTCACTGAATGAAACAGGCTAGGTCAGGAGCCTGTGACCTAAGTAGGTGGATCACCGGAGAACTTCATGTAACAGCAGATCAGAAGTCAGCCTCCCAGATACTTTCATTTGTTCCACGCTGCTGTCTGCCCTGTTCGCTTTCCTTGGTGTCCTGCTGCTAAGCTGGTGCACACAGCCCTGATCTGCAGCCTGTGCAAACCTCCTGGCTGATTGACTTCTGCAGTTTTGGTAGTGAGGTAGCCAGCATGGGTTTTGAATGGTCAGCTACTAGTTGGAAATCATAGTTCTGTGCCTGACAAGCCAGACTGTGTCATACCTCTAGTGGGGTCGTATTTTTGTGCGTGTGAGAGAAACTGTGAGTTTGGTAAGCATGAATTTGTTGGTTAATGGGTGCTTTGCGGTGTCTAGTAATTATTTGGCTTATAAATCATAGTCCTGCATATGTAGTGCATAACAAATAGAAGGATGTAATCCCAATATGCATTTTCTTAAACTGCTGTATAGGTTTGTTCGTTTGTTTTTTAATTCTCGCTTAAAAAAATCTTAATTTTCCCAAAGTTAACTAGTTTATCTTGGATGTTTCATGGTGAGTATGGAACATGAATCTCTTCAAAATGGGTGGGCAACAGCACTGAGCTCTGCTGCTGTCAGCAGTAGTTGTTACAACACTGCATAGTGGGGGCCTTTTGATGTTTTCAGATGTACCTGAACTTCTGAATCAAAAAATCAGGGGAGATATGTGTTGATGTGGGAAAAAATAATATTAGGGTCCATGTGAGGATGTGTATGTATGAAATGATACATTACAGGCTTTGGGTCCTGGCTTGGGAAGTTGAAAGTGGTGTGTATGTTGCTCAGACCTGACAGTACTGCTACTCAGTATCCCAAGGAAGCTAAGTTTAGGAATTGTAGCACCGCTGTTGTTCAGAAAACCTTTTTTTCCCCGTCATCCTGATTTGAGCAAAGCATTTTTTGATGATCTTCTAAGAATCATTTAATTATAGTATTTAGTGGGCTATAAATAGACAGTGCGTTTGTTTTACTACGAGCTACTCTTCCTCATGCTTGTCATGAGGGAGCTGGAGCAATCCATGTGATGGAGATACCAGGCAGCACAGAGACATCTGACGCTCGCAGTTAGTTTCTGTCTGGTCAGGCTTATTAGCTGCAAGGATCCTTGTGAATCCAACGTGAACCAGAGGGACAAAGAGATCTCAGTAAAACTTCTGCAAAAGTCTGAAGGTCAGTACCACCTCAAGCACAGCTCAGCTGGTACGTGGGAGGTCAGATTGCTTACGGCATTGCATGTGAATTAACGTGATGTTGGTCTGGCTCACTGGAATATGCATATTACGAGCATGGCATTGGCTCTGGAAGAAAGGTTGGAGTTGGTTGGTAGAAATTGCTCAGACTTGGTAAAGATGCTGTTTTTTCCACTTGGCATCTCTGTGTTCTTTTTTGATGTCTTGTGAAGTTGAGTGCAGTACTGGCCTAGAGCTGAATCCTCACGTTGCGTGACACTACAGCTGGCCTAATAAGCCACCTGGATTTTGGTCCTGGGAATGTGTTGTGGGAGCTGTGACTCCCTGCAGAGCTGGCCACGTTTGAGTATTGCTCATCTGGAGCTCAGATGCGTTCAGGGTTACTGGAGTCCCTGCACTCACATGTGTATTTCTTAAAATTTGGTGCAGAGACAGAAAGGCTGCGTGCAGAGCCAGTGTAGGTCATACCATCTTTAATAATTAAGGAGTCTAAGCTGGGGAGACACAGCTATACTAGTTACTTCCAAAGCCAGTCCAGGTATGTTGTGCTGCTGTAGTCATAGGTTTCTGCTACTAAATCCTGCCAGACCTGAGCTGTGCCTGCATCTGCTACACAGATGATCTGCAGTTGGAATGCTTGAGAATAATTTTTTGTAAATCTGTTATACAACAATGGTTGTAGTTCTCCTCTCCAGATCCCCCCTTATTTTTTTAAAAAGTTTTCATCACATGCGTCCACAAGTTTGTTATTGAAGAACTGCTCGTATAAGAGCTGTATGATGTATCCATAGTTTAGCCCCACTTCCCCCAGTGTTTATATAATATAAAATAACCGTGCTTGCAGTATTGCGTGCATTTTGTCTAGGCAGGAAGAGGCAAAGGAGGAGGAAATAGGAATGCAGACTTTGGATTTGTAAATAGGCTTGTGATCAGAGCTCTGATAGCTCTGGCTCAACAGGTTGCCTCCAAGGGAATGGGATCTCTGTGTCTGCACTTCGAGTCAGTCTTGTTGTGAAAAAAACACTCTATCTGAAAACTAGAATGCACATTGGTAAATGTGGTCTCAATAGAGGGGAACTAAATTTTGGAAGAAGAAAATGGATGGTAATAACTTCCTTCTTTCTTTTTCCTTTACTTTCAAATATTGGCCAAATAGCCCGTTTCAGGATTAATTTACTCTGTGTTCTCTTTGAAGATACCCCTTGAAATAATTCTTAGAGAAATTCTGAAATGAATATGTATGTGTCCATAATTTTCTTTAGAGGACATCTTTTATAAGAACATTATTAAAATAGCTTTCAAGAGTACTGTAGTAGTAGAAAAGTTGCTTTAGAAAAAAATACTAAAAAATACATTTATTTGTATTAAATAGATTTATTTGAAATAATTTTATTTCTACACAACAGTAGAATAGTAATCTTCTAAATAAGAGAAGTGACTCTAAAATACAAATTGCCAGGAGATTTTTTTTTATAATTACGGGAAACTGCTACTTATTAATGATATCCCCATGCTTCCCCTTCCTTCCTGCCACCCCAA